CACTAGCTTGAAACAGAATCGTAAATTACCCGGAACTCTCTTCATTCAATCTCGCAGTATACTAACAAAGAGGCTTCGACAAAATTCGAGGAGTTCCCTGACAACTCATTCACGCATGCGCTAGCAGCGTCACGTGACTTCCGCTGTCGTAACAATATCATATAACTTCCTCCTTCTATAGTGATATACAAGTTTTCATAATTTTTAGTATTTTACTTATTCTCGTTTCTTTATGATCTAGTGGCTGACGAATCATCTGCCCGCGGATATTGCAACAGTACAAGTAAGATCTGGTTTTAAAGGTTAACATTGTGATATCTGTTCGCTGTCCAATGACATCGCTAAAGCCACAACCATCCATTGCTGTTCATAGATAAAGGTCACGAGATAACATTGTAGACTGGACAAAGAGAACTAGCTTACCTAACGTTTTAGTATGTTTTCTTTATTCAATTGGAGCGAGTTCTATTGGGAAATCAGAAAGAAAGACCAGTTTTCTGGAAGATCGCAGTTTTCAGCTTTTACAGTAGTCGATCTTGTGGATAAAATGTCTTGTTGTATGTGCGGGTATACTTGATGTGATTTGTTTTTAATAAAGATTGTGTTTTATTTTTGCGAATTTTGTCCAGTTGCTATATTATTCACAGTAAAAGGGAGTCAGTTTAAGTTTTATACAAAATGTATTCCCATTATTTCTTTTATGAATCTGTTGTTTATGTGAAACACAACCTATCCTATGCTTGTATGGAAACTGGTTTTGACCGCGAATAAAACAAGTAGACAGAAAGGAAAAATTTTGGTGCCGTGACCAAGATTTATTGCAGAGCTTTTGTGGCTGATAACGATCGTATTAGATCTCACTTAACCTTTCGAGTTTAAAGGAGTATTAAGGAATGCATTTGCAGAATAAAAATATAATTTTTTAGACGTAAAAATACCACATACTGAGAGGAAGAATTCACGAGCAGAGAGAGAGACAGTTGCAGAGTAGAGATGATGCATCTAAGAGAAGTCATCTCCTGGATATAGGGCTTTTGTCAATATTGCGAAGATCCATGACGTCAGTTAACCTGCAGCTGCTGACTCGAAGAGGTTTGCTCGTGTCTAGAGCACCTAAGATAGCCAAGCAGCTGGTATTCTTGAGAATCAATCTCAGCAAAAGGAAAATACGACAATTAATATCCACTGGAATGGTTTGATGCCAGAAGAGTTTGGGACCACTTAGGAAGATCCCTATCAAACTCTTAAGCTATTGCCAACCAGAGCAAGACTGCCGAACAGTGGTGGACAGAGGGTAGTGTACAACTGGTGGATAATGCCTGCCAGTTAGAGTTGTTTTCCATGCAGACATGAGGGAAACCATGACTCACAGGGCGAGGGATCCTTCAGGAAAGGCAGGCTCGAAAAATCAAGCCTAAAAAGTATTCACTAATGTGAATGGATGTAGGAAGAGATTGAATCCCTAAAAACCCAGCTAAGACATGTATTCCAAAATTAGCCTCGAGAAATCTGCAGTTTCCTTGGTTTCAGTCCTACTACCGACGATTTGTTGAGAACTTTTCGAAAATAGCAGTACCATTTTCACAAAACTGGAAGTGCACTTTGGACGAAACGAGAAGTGTGAGCAAATACTATGACCCATAAAGCTTCCTTTAGTGAAGGTTCCATTACTGGCCTATCTCTGTCAGGATTGCGAGTTCATACTTGATACTGATTCTACTTACTTCTACTTATTTATATTGTTACGTCAGCGAGGTCACATGACTAGTATCACGCCACGTCCTTCTCGAACCTTCGTGAATTGTCGGGAGACTACT